TTTTTTTTGGTTTTTCTCCGGTACCGGGAACCGAACTCACGACCTTGCGCTTGCCAGGCAGGCGCTTTGCCGCTGAGCTAAATCCCCAGCCCCAAGCGCAGGGTCTTGATCAGCCATTAAGCTGCCCACACTGGGCTCAAACTTGGAACCCTTCTGCTCAAGGAAGAACAAAATTAGAAGTCTATGTTATTAAGGTGGGAGTACTCCTGTAATAAACACAGGTCTAATGAGAATAGATGGGAGGAAATATCTCCTTGACCAAAAGAATGCCCACTAAACCCTGAAACCTAACTCAAACACTATTTCCTGCAAGAAACTTTTGCCACTCCTGGCCAGGCACTTAGCTATAACTTCCTCTGTACTCCTGTATATTTTGGTACTGGAAAAGATATATTTAATAATGTATCTGTCTATTCAACTAGATCTCAAAATCATCTAAGGAAGTATGTTACTATCTCTAGCACCTACAATGGTGTTTGGCATAAAGCAGGAACCAATATTTTTCAAGTGGAACCACTCTGCTTTTCTTAAAAACATACCAGTGCAACTCTTACCATTCAACTTTTCTGTAAATCTGAAAATATTCCAAAATAAACATTTATAAAGGATTCTTTAAAAATGGTGTAATTTTTATCAGCTATTATGACACCTACCACACATGTCGTGCAAGAAGACATAAGCTACTAGAAAGCTGTGCTTTGTGCTTGTAGTCAGTAATTTTGCTTGTAACAAGCGTGAACAAAGAATGGGCAACAAACATTTGAGATTGGAATTTCAAAACAAATTTTGATCAGGTTATTTAATCTGGGCCTCAGTTTTGTAAAAATATAGTAACCCCTACCTTACGAGTTTGCTGTGTAGTACAGGGTATGGCAAAGGACATAGCTCTTCTAGTCGCTATGTTAGTGCCCTTCCCTATACTGTGTTCAAACTAGACTAACACCTCACGCAAAAGAGACACATAATATTCTAATCCAACAAGGCAAAGACTCAAGTCGTAACTCAGATGGCTATTAGGCTGATTATCTACACAACAATCCTATATGTGTGTCCAGGAATTCCAACCTTGCCACCAAATCCTACTCCAGAACTGCTTTACGAAATACGTAAATAGCCCACTCAAAACCCTACGCAGCCGACAGGGGTCAGCAGCTACGGCCACTAACCTACACGGGCTGACTCCAGAAAGAGGGCCAGCGGGCTCAGGACGCGCTAGTTGGAGGGAGAAGAGGATGTACTAGGAACCCCCGCTGCTGTGACATTGGTGTCCAGCTGCCTGGGTCTCCCGGCAGTGGTGCAGGGCGGGCTGAAAGCCCAGGGGACTGAGCCCTTCATTTTCAGACTCAGCAGTGGGTCCCCGCCCGTGCGGCCCCCGCCCACCCCAGCGCCACCTAACCGAAGGCGCCGCGAAGGAGCGGCAGCTCTGCAGGTAGAGACCTGGGAATACACGCGAGGGGGTGGGCGGCCCAGGGAAGCTACTGGTGCGAACTGTAAACTTAATCCTGGCAGCTTCACAGTCAGGGGAGTGTTTCTACCCGCAGGCAAGAACGGGCCCGATTTCCGGCAGGGGCGCGCGGAGGACGCTGACGGGGGCTGTTTTTGCGCGGGCGGAGGGTGCGGCGGGGGAAACCGAGGCCCGCCGGGAGCGCAGCCCAGAGGGGCCCGCAGCCCAGGGGGGCCCGCGAGAGCGCTGGTCCGCGGGCGGCGGGGCGCGAGGCTGCCGTCGAGCCGGCCTGCTGAGGGAGCAGGTGGAAGCGCAGGGACCAACGGGGGCACCGGGGCAGGACTGCGGCCAGCGAGGCGGCGTGTGAGAGCGGGCGAGCGAGGGTGTGTGTCCGGGCTGGAGTCTGGGCGGGTGTCGGGAGGGAAAGGCGAGCAGGGAGGGGCGGAGGCGGGGGGAGGGGGGAGGAGAAAGAGCGAAGGGCCCTGACGGGGTTCTGGGCGTCTAGCCGCCCGGCCCCGGGCCCTCAAGCCACCGCCCCCAGGCCCTGCCCTGACGCCGGACGGTCCCCGCCTCCAGACCCCCCTCCCCACCAGAGAATAACTTACCTGTTTGCCGACGGAATCGCTCCTGCTCGCCCCTCTGACTGACTCCTCCGGCTCACCGTCTTCCCTCTGGGAGGAAGAGGCGGGACTTCCGGTCTCTCTGTTGAAAGACTTCCGGCGGTTCCAAGGTGTCGCTGGTGAATGGTGCGCCCGGTACGACAATTTGAAAAACAAGATTTTCCGACCATTTTAGTAAAATCCAGTTTGAGCTCCTACTTTTTGCTCTGAGTAGCCGGTAGTGCCATGTATCGACTTGTTTTCGCCCATCAGCTTTCACCGGAAGTGTAAAACATAAAAGAGGAAGTTCTACCCCTCCCCTCGAGTGAAAAAACGGAAAGCCAGACGAGCCAATATAAAGAGGCGCGACTGTCTCTAAAGGCAAGTGGTGCCAGCCAGGGAGGACCGCCTGAGGTTTCCATATTGCGTCAGAGTGAGTTCTTCCTAGGCCAGTCCCGCCTCCTTCTTGACCTCTGAGGGCAGAACCTGAAACATCCCCTCCGCTTGCCTTCCCCTGCCAGCCAGGCTCTTGTCGCTTCTAGTGCAGTGATTTAAACATGGGGCTGGGGATTTAGCTCAGCGGCAAAGCGCCTGCCTGGCAAGCGCAAGGTCGTGAGTTCGGTTCCTGGTACCGGAGAAAAACCAAAACCAAAAAAAAAATAAAAATAAAAATAAAAAAAAAATAAAGAAACATAATTATCGCACATATGAGGCGTTTATGCTGTTTCAGATTATGAGAAGAACCTATCGAACTGCAGCAAAATGGGATCCCCACTCAGAGGCTTTAGGAAGCATAGCGGAAGGCTAACACTAATGAGACTAGACTGAATGTAGCTGGTGAAAGTTTGGCAATGGAAAATGAAACCGCCTTTGATATTCAAAACTACCGTCTGGGTGTGAGTGTGTGTGTGTTCATGTTAACAGCACAGCACAAGAAATTCTTAGGAAAGAGGGGTATGGTTCCAGGATACATTGCTTACTGCCTCCTTGCAAGTCCTTCCTTGAACCGCATTTTAGAACAGTTTCTTCTGAAACTCAGAATTTACTGGGGCGGACCTAAGTAGATGATGACTGTATCACAGCTTGATAACTGCTGTGACAAAGATGTATATGGACATGGACGAAGGTGATAATCCTGACAAAGGGTCCACCCCAGGATCACAGGACAAACTCCTGGACCTGTTACTCATTAGAAGCGTGATTGTGTCTTCCTTTTAGGGACTTAAAGAAGCAATTTTTGCTAAAAACCCACCTTCACTTAGATCTACAGATACCCAATAGGAAACTAAATCAAAGCTTGGCCTTTGTTTTGTAAAACTAGGTCAAATCCTCAGCTCAGTATTACAGGCCTGTTAGCCATTTACTGAATGTCTACCTAAAAGTTGGCAAAGCTTTATTAGCCGTAAATTTACCTAGCTTATCACCCTTCATGACTGAGAATACCTATGCCCAAAATCCCAAGTGCCTTAAATTTGTGGTCACATTGGACCCCAGGAGAGGCTTCCATGACTGAGACTGCCCCAAGTCATGAGGATTCCTCTCAAGGGAACCAAATTGCCCTCAAACATGAGGAGTTATAATCGACTAGACCAGTGCTGGTGAACCTTTTATGATTTAGTTTTAGAACTTTTATGATACAAACACCCCACTGTTATAGGCAGCTGAGTTAGATAGAAATACAGGCAGTCAGACAGGGCCAGACCCTTGAAGGAGCCAATATGGAAAACAAATACCTTGCAAATGGAGAACTACTTGCCTCAAGACAAAAGACTAAACAAATGCACCCACATACCTCCCTAGGGATGGACATCAGAGATTGATATTCTAGGAAAAGCCCCTAGAATACAGGCTAGTTCTGTATTCATACCCCCTTGCTACATGAGTCAGTGACTCGCTTCCCCATTTGATCCCAATTTTTTTTTTTTTCTTTTTTGGTCTTTTTGAGACAGGGTCTCACTATGCAGTTCAGGCTGGCCTTGAGCTCACTTTGTGGCCCAGGCTGGTCTCGAACTTGCAATGATCCCTCTACCTCAGCCTCCCAAATGCTGGGATTATAGACGTGAGCCACCACACCCGGCTTTAATCCCAATTTAAATAATTTTACCTGAACAGTTCTTATTGGCTGGCCATAGTTTTGTCACACCTGTCCACCTTGTGATTTCCCCTTTTTCCCTACCTTGGACCTGCCTCACCTCGTGGTTTTGCTCTATAAAAGTCCCTAGAAAAGACAGTCTTGGGCAACCCACTTGGGCCCCCTTCTGTTTCTCTCTCAGACAGAAGCTTTCTTTCCCTCAATAAATATATTGTGCTGTTAACCTCTGCTGTTCCTAAAAGTCATTGTTCGATTTTAGAGAACACGAACTCACTCCAGGTAACTTTCAGATTAGGAGTTTCTATTTTCCTATTATCACCACTGGCACATAGATTTGCCACCACTGGACTAGACCCTTGCCCACCTCAGCTAAGCCTTAAAATCTGACCTGCTTTTGTGAGTGGGCCGGCCTGATCATCAGAATGCACCCTTTCGAGCTACTCGAACTGGAGTCCTTTTGTATCCTATCTCACCGTCCAATTAAAGCATTTCCCTATAAACTCATACTGTCACTTCAGACTTCAGTTTTAAATTCCATTTTCACTGAAACAAGGACCCAAGGTAGCCAGTATTTCAGGTGAGACTGAAGATACAAGAGTTCTGACTTTGTTTTGTAAGCATAGGAAAACAGATTATAGTGGGATGTTATCAGATTTATATTTAAAAAGATAATTCTGAGTAGGGTAAAATGTCCTGAAGATAGGCTTTCTTAACCAAATTATCTCTCAAGCCCAATTCCAGGTATTATAGATAGCTAAATTAGGTAGAAATATTGTAGACAGACAGGGCTGGGCCCTCAAGAGGTCAAGGCAGAAGACAACTGTGGCTGGAGGCTATTCACTGAAAGCCAGGCTCCAAGAAAAAAGGAACAGCACTCCTATTCTTCCCCTAGGGATGAGCAGCAGTGATTGATATTCTAAATAAGCATCAATCACCTGGGGTGGAGCACCAAACCTTCCAAGAAACTCCTTGTCTATCCCATGTGCACTTGTTACTTGCTATGTACCTTGCTTCCCAATTTGATTCCCCATATAATCAGCATTACACAAATGACTATACTTGTGGTGACTTTATTCGTTCACCATAGTCTTGTCCCACCTGAAACCTACCTTGTGAGTTCCCACTGGATCAAGAGTACCCAAACGACTATACTACAAATCTTATTGCTTGATTATAGTTCTGTCCCTCCTTTACCCCACCTGACCTCATGGCTTTGCTCAGTAAAATACCCTTGAAAAGTGGGGTTGGTGGGCAACTCACTTTCCAGGCCCTCTTCTGTCCCTGTCAGACAGAAGCTTGCTTTCTCTCAATAAATTCTTCCTACTTTTAACCTCCATTGTTCCTACAATTAATTCCTTGGTTTTAGAGAACACAAACTTGGCATTTCAGACATCTAGCGGGTCGGAGTTTCTTTCCCCTATATCACAGGTACAGAGTGCTTTCAGGCAATAGTCTCTTACTTTTCTCTTTGGAACTGGGAATCAAACTCCGGACCTCGCAGTTGCCAGGCAGGCACCTGGTGGCTGAGCTATACACCCCACACCTTTTTTAATATCATTGCCAGAGAACTTTTTGTAGACATTATCTGGTTAAATTCCCATTGTAATCTGCATTTCTTATCCCTACAGTAGGAAACTGCAGTTTACAAGAGTCAACTATCCCAAGATTACATATCTGGTAAAAGTGGAATCTAACCATCAAGGCCATTGCCAGCCTTCTCCACTTACTAATTGATTCAGCTTATTAATAGTTATTTTTAAATTCTAGTGAAAGAAGTGGAAATTTTCCTCAGAACACATAACCAGTTATCAATATTATATTTATTCCATTAACCAGCATTTCTTGGGTGTCTATTATATATAACTAAAGTAGATTCTGTCTTTATTGTTCATGTGAAATTTACCTAAAATTTTTGAAAATTTAATCCATAGTATGATCTCAACAGCTGTCCCAGCAGTTTTAACCTTGTATGACAAGATGATAAATTTCTTGACAGTAAAAGCAGCTAATATAATTCTCCATGTGGATTAGGCATTCTCTTGGTCTTTAGGTGATTTATCACTCTTAAATTTCTTACCCCAGAGATTTATTTAACATTTTATCTTTCCTTAAGCAGTAAAGTAAAATCTGAGTTTATTTTTCAGTTCTATCATCCATTGTTTTTCTGAGACAGTAAATTTACGTTACAATACAATGTTTAAGGAAGTTAATTTCACCTCATTTCCAATCGATGGGTTCTATTCATAGAATTAAGGTCTGATTTTTCTGACTCTTAACAGTGGCATCCAGAGCAACTTCATGTTTCTTCCTCTTCCTTTTGCCTCTTTCTCCTTTTCCTCATCCCCTTCTCCTCCTCCGCTTCCTCCCCCTTCCCCTCCTTTCCTCTACACCCTTCTCTTCCTCTTCCTCCTCTTCCTGCTCCTCCTCCTTTTGCTCTTTCACATGCTCACTCTTCCCAAATACACACACCCCTCTCTAGTAATATTCCACTATTAAGTAAGATTGTCTTTTACTTATACAAGGAGCACTCTAAATAATGCAGTATTATTACCAAATGATACAGTATTATTACCAAATCTGCCACAGTTGCAGTCTAAGAAAGTTACAAAGGGAACAAAAAATTCCAGACTTCCTAAGTGAAATATAAGTAAGTAACTCCATAAGTTAAAAAAAGTGCAGTATAAATTTAAAA